AACTAATAAGTACTTAGAAGTAGTAGTTTTATTAAAATAAAATTAACTATATCAAAAAAATTATATTTACCAAAGAATTAATAGTAACTATCTCTTTTATAACAATAACTAGTCTTTTATTCTCAATCAAAATTCTTAATTTGAGCTTCTGAGAATGAATTCTTTTTTTTTTGTTGAAAAATGAAAATACTATTTTCATAATGAGCGAATATGAATTTAACTGAGTTATAATATAGATAAGGACAAATGTAACCTTTCGATTACGGATTCATCTGAACTCGATCATAACATTTGACATGGATATATATGTAAAAATCTACAAAAATTATCAAAAAATATCAGATTTGAACTCATAATTTAATAGTAAAATAAATATAGTGCTAAAAATCTTTAAAGTTGAATTCAGTAAATATAAATTTTTAAGCCGATTCTAAATATAAATATGGAGCACAGAAAGAATAAAAAAACTAGCATTTCGATTTTCCTTAAGTTTATCTTCCATATTATTTTGTGGATAAAGTGGAGTAGTTGGTTGAGGAAAAGACAAGGGTTTCCTGTTCTTATATATGTGTAGTTCCATGTCTAGTATTTCTTCTTGGATTTTAAACATTTAAATCTTTTAAAAAATAATCATGAAGTTTAAAATTGATAAAAATTTATTTCATTTGTAATATTAGAGTGAAACAATGTTTCCTCCTAGTATCATGAGTGAATTAATGTTAAAATTTTTTTATTAGATATCAAGAATAAAATGATGTTAAAAGGATTATTTCACTTATATTACCTTATGATAAGATATATTTTCTCTATCTCATAATTAATAGTCTAAAAATTTGCTATTTGTCAATTTCATCCTACATAGCTTTAGACGTTAGGGTAGTGAAATTTCAAGGTCCGCCTTATTTGGTTGCCCTTATTTAACATGTGTCTGTTTTAAAAAAAATATTTTAACGGCTACTTGGTATTAGATAATTTTAAATGAAATTTTAGTTGTTGTACAATAATAACTTTTTTAATTTGAAATATGATATTTTGAAGAAGTGGGTTTTAAACTTTAAATATAAAAAATGAGTTTAAATCAAACGAATTTTGGAATAAATAACAAATCACTATTATTATAAAATGGATTTGTTCATTTATTGTTGTTAGGATAAATTGAGGAAAAAACATAGTTTTTACGATATATGAAATTTTGGAACTTACGCTTTAAAATTTGAGCTTAGGTGTAATACACTTGAATGTTGAATCATGTTAAAAATCTTATTTTGGGAAAAAAAAAGTTCCAGCTGCACTTCAAACATACATGCATGAAGTTTGACTAATTTTTACAGGCAATTTAGAAATATATGACTGAAGAGAAGGTATTGGTCTCTACAACCTCATTAAAAAATGTCTAAAGTTTGGTCTTGTGAAGGTCGTAATTTCAGTAAAAAAAAATGTCTGCTTGGCAAGTTCGGTAAAACTAGTGTAAGAAAATATCTAAAGTTCAGTTTTATCAAATCCATAACTCATTCAAAAATGTCTGAAATTGACCTGACAAGTCATATCAAACTTCAAGCAAAAATATCCAATGTTTGATCTTGAGAATGCCACACTTTAGACAAAAATAAAATAAAATTGAAGTTCAATGAAAATTTTCAACTTTTATCGCATACATCTAAAGTTATTCTCCGTCTAGATAAATTTGAAGACAAAAAAAAACGAGCACAAGTTAAAAGAGGCCTAAAACTAGACTTCAGCTCTATCATTAGGCCCAGTCCAGATATTGTCTATTTAAAATTCACCAAAAATAGGATGCTCGTTGGGCTTAAGTGAGGCACGTATAGTTATGTATATGGGCTGAAGCTTGTTTGTTGGATTTTTGCAAACTTTTCAACTAAGTTGAGAAATTCGTAGGCGAACTATGCGAACTTCACTTAGGGACTAATTACATGTTTTTTTTTTTGTGTGTTTTCAATATTATCATTCATGTCAGACTTCGATCCTAGATACATGTATCTAGCACGTCTAGATACACGTCAAATATATGAGATCAGAATTAGGTGTAATTTGTTCTAAATATATTGTATCTAAACGTATTTGCATGTATCTGAGATATACTAACTCTCCCACTTGCCTCTCTCCTATATCACTCACCTCTCTCCTATCTCACTTGCCTCTCTCACCACCTCTCTTCCTATATGTATTTATATTTTAGAATGTATCTAGAATGGATACATGTATCTAATGTGATTCACATGTATATGAGACTCTTGCTCGCCTTCCTGCTATACTGCTCGTGTCTCTCTTCTCTCCCTATATAACTATATCTCAAAATGCATTTACTAGCAAAGATACATGTATCTAGTTGTTGACTTAAAATCTAATATGAAATTATTAATCAGTGAAATAATACAAAATTATTTCGAACGATAAAGAGAATAAATAAACATTGTAGAAATATTTATGTAATAAATTAATTTTTCCTGTGCAACAATTTTAACACAAAAGAGCTCATTCTTTCTTGTGAAGTAAGAAGATGGGGAGAATCTTGCTGCATCGATATAAGACAATGTTGACAAGGTTGAGCTATATGGCTTTTAATTATTTTTTTTATAGTAATAATATAATATCCAATTTCTGACCTGAATTTCCACTTATTTATAAGTCATATTTGTCGCTGTTTACGAGTTTTTATTCTATTTTTTTAAAAGAAGCTAAAGGTCAACACAACTGTTTTTCTAGATTAAACAATTCATAGGTCTTCTAATCGATGCTGAGGCTATGTAGAAAAGTTTTTTTTTTTTTTTATAACTTCTAGATGGTAGAAAAGGTCAACATAATATCAAGGAATTTGACCAAGTCATATATATATATATATATATATATATAAATGTTCGCAAATTAAGGTCTCAACTGCCAAATGTATAAACCAAAATGATGGAAGAAAACTCTTAATGAAACAAGTAAACACAATGATCCAACATGCAAAGAGAGAGGAAATGATCAAAATGGTCCTTCATGTATAGGGGTTGCTTTATTTTGGTCCTTAATATATTCTAGGCGATTGAAATAGTCCTTCATGTATTACAAAATATATTCAATTTGATCTTTTACCCTAAACTTAACAAATTTGTCCCAAAAAATGTTAAATATAACGGTGGACCCCACATAATTTACAAATCCACTATTTTTCTCTTCTTAATTTATTACTTCAAAATCTAACACTATTTTATCAAGAACAAATGCAATACCATCCATATTAGCATTTACAATCACAAGATGGAACCAACACAACACAGCATAACTTCACACAAAGAAGAACCCAAACTCATACACTGAATCTTGTCCCGTTCATCAATCACAGAGCCACATCAGGAATGAATACACAAGTTACAAAGCTACTTCAGTCAGAAATACCAAAAAATAAATCTAGTAGAACCCACTTATCAACAACCAAACAAGGACGATACCAAAAATTCACAGCAATAGCCCCAATAACATGAAATTCAAGAACCCCAATACACAAAGTAAAACTTGTTCTAGATTACCCACCAAAAATCTCCACCATCCCACGTGTTGACCTTTCTGGAGAATTAATCACTCCAGACAAAAAAAAAATTAAAATAAACAACAAACAAAAGAGGATTATAACCAAAGGAAAGAAATATCAATATGTATATAGAAAGTACCAAGAACAATGTAAATGCAAATATTATACCATTCAATTCCTAGATTATACAATTAACTTAATTTTCTATCTTTACGTTCTACCGACAAATGAAATTCTTGATGATCCATTTCATTCAACCTTTTTACAATAATTATGTGGTTAGATATTAGAGAAAATGGTGTTAGAATTCGTGAAACTCTTTCTTTGAGCTAATAAAGATGGTAAAAATGGTGGATTTTGTAAGTTATGTGGGCCCCATAGTTATATTTAACAGTTTTTGGGGATAAATTGTTAAGTTTAGGGTAAAAGACTAAATTAAACACATTTTGTTATACATGAAGGACTATTTCAATCACCTAAAATATATTAAGGACCAAAATAAAGTAACCTCAATACATCAAGGACCATTTTGATCATTTTCTCTGCAAAGAGACAAGCAATATAATCTAGCAATACATAACTTGGAAAAAGGTAGGAGGTAAGAAGGAGAATATAGTAGTTGGTCAGAGGCGGAGCTAAGAACCTAGCTACAGATTCAGCAAAACTCAATAGTATTTATCGAATTTCCTAATTGCGTTTTAAAAAAATGTATTGAATATAATATTTTGTCTCAAACACATAAACTGTATTGGAATTCTTAATAGGAAGCAGCAGATGGCAGTACTCTTGCTTTCTTTTCTCAATGGAATAGTGTTGGAACTTAGTGTCACAAGACGTGCCGTGATTTGCAAGTCAATTATTACGGTATATCTTGTCTTATGGTTCTTTCTAGTTTCTATTATTACTCAAATCAATTATGATTTCTCTCTTTTTTCTGGTCTTTTCTTTGAGCTCATGTGTGCGTAAATCTTAACCCTCATGTGGCTGAAGTAAAAGTATTATAAAGTAGTTTGTAAAAAGAAAATAATAGGAATGAAGAAGTCTAACACAAAATGCTAAATGGAGTAGTAAAACAGGAATAATAATATTACAAGAAACTCTCAAAGTAACACTACGACTACTAGTATGGAACAATAAATCAGATAACTTTCAACTACTTAACTAATCCTTTACTCTAATCTTTGTCCTCCATAACCTCGATCTTATCTAAGATGATGTCCTCCGTAAACTGAAGTTGCGTCATGTCTTGACTAATCACTTCTACTCCTCCTATAACCAACAAACTCTCATGAAGATCTGTGCATTTCCTCTTCACATGTCCAAATCATCTTAGTCTCACTTTCCGTATCTTGACAAATTAGCTAGTCATAATAGATTATCAAAATTATATTAACTTCGAGTGATTTGACAACAGATTAGCGATGAAATTTATAGCTAATTCCATTGTATTTACAACCTACCATGGAGATCAGAACTAGAGGAGATTGTTTTGGTGAATGCTTCTGATCATCCTCTAAACTACTGTTGCTTAATTTAGCTCTATATCTAGAGTTGGGGTGTAACCACTAGCCTTTTGCTACCATGTTGGCTACTGCTACTACTAGAAATACTAGCCCCACTGCTACCGCAAGACAAGTCAGTGCTGCTTCCTAATTCCTTTCTGCTGGATTGATTCTTTGGCCTTCTTGGAATGCATTTTGCTCTCACCCCTTCTATCTCCTTCTCCCTTATTTCCAACTTTGCACTCCTGCAAACCAAAAACAACCCGAGTATAGTTAATTTAATTCACAAAATAACAACAACAAAGAATCCTATATAATTATACAAGTGGGGTCTAGGAACGATATGATACATGCAAACCTTCATCCCTACCTTTGTGGGGTAGAGACACTGTTTTGATAAGATAGTGTAGTGGATACAATACAAAATGCAGCAACAAATAGTTGAACACATTGAAGAATACGATAACTATAGAATACTACTAAAAGGAGGTTAATTTGATTCATGCAGCAGTTAAAATAGCTAACTAGCCTAGCTATAGGTAGCTAGAATGATTCTAAATGCACCTGACGACATTTTCAAGGAGTCTAAGCAGCATAGATAAACAGTAAGACAGCAATAATGCTTTAATACTAGTATATTAAAATTTTTCTTCTTTCTGCAGAACTGTGCTGTGAAAAATCTAGATATGGATTTTCTGAAAGATTACATCAAGTTATTAATGTTGATCAATTAATTAGGTACTAGTTGTAAACTTTGTAAGGCAATTTGACTATGACATACGTACCAATACCCCTATGGCCTATACTAAGTTACAAGAGGAAATTGTACTTTTCAATCATGAAAACAGGACAAAATATTTTCACATACTACTGCTACCAATCACTGCTGAATTGCCTTTTATGTAAGTTATTATAGACGTGTAATGCTATATCAACTTGATTTCCAGCTATTTTTTGTTGCTATGGAAAATAATAAATGCTCAATCACCTAGAACCAGAAATTGCAGAACCTCTTTAAATGATATTCCTGAAAAATTACTGTCTTGAATACTCCATTGTTTTCCTATGTCAGGGTAGATTAATTAAATAACCACATGAAAATGTCTTCCTTCCATACATCCCGAGGATTTGGAAAATGACATTTACAAATCTCTTATATGTAAAAATGAACTCGTAAAAAAAGAAATGAAACTAAAAACAAGTTTGTAAAACATTACAAAACCATCTCTCCCTCGGATAACTCATAGTGGACATGATAAGGCAATAATGAGATTTAGTATCTATCATATATAGGGCAATTTCGTATCAAAGAGGATTTGAATGAATTCCTTATTCCCTTAACTCTACCCCGATAACAACTACGTAATAATTCCTTTGTGAAATGAGTTGAATAGATATTCATATTTGTCAAATTTTTATCTGATTAAGTTGAACTTTTGTGCATTGCGATTTCAGGATTGTTCATAGTAAACAATCTTCTATAACATGTTAAGTTCTACTATATATGTATATATTTATCATCGTCAACATTTATGACTTAATTTTAGGCAACACGACAATTTTTTTTGTTTGAATGAAACAAACATTATTGAGAAAATCACTCCAAGCAAAGTCAGGCACAATATTTTGGACTTAAGCAAAGTATTAGTCATCATATATATATATATAGAAACAGTTTGACACGAAGCAAAGTATCATCATTTAAGTCGTTCGGTAGAATGTATTAGAAAAAATAATATGCGGAGTTATACTCACCGATCTGCATTAAATGATGAAGATCTTTTCAGAGCTGGATATTCGTCCTTGTTTGTCTCTATCAAGCTTCCGCTGAAGTACTCTTTATCTTCTAGCTTTGTGATTCCGTGATGCTCCACCGTAGTAATCTCAGCACCTTTCTCCACCGAATTCAATCCCGGCCCACGTGGCACCCTGGATTTGTAATGTGAAATCAATGAAAGCCCATGATCTTTTCCATAACCACCGGGCCCACAGTCCTTGAACGACATTGACCCACACGATAATAATTGCATCAACACGGAAGATCCTCTGCTCTTTCCATTTGATTGATTATTAGCAGCCGTTTGATCTTCATTGACAGTTTCTGGCCGTACGATTACCCTCCCGTCGGCTTTCATCAACGTTTCAAGTGTTTCCGGGCTTGAATCAGACGGCGGAGGTGAAATCTCGCCTCTGCTAAGTTCTGTTGACTGGCTTTGAGTTTGCTCGATACTCTGGTAATCTTCTTCTTCTTCGGCAATTCCGATTTCTCTTCGCCGGCGACGGCGTTCGTCGGTCTGAGTTGAAGCATCGGCGGCGGCTTTTCCTGAGGATTCGTTACTGGACGACTCTGCTTTGTAGACTCTGTATTCGTGGAAGTCGGCAGAACACCAGGACTGGTTGCGACGCCGTGAAACTGCCGGAAATTCGTGATCTTCGCTGAGTTTTCTCACTTCCGGCACCTGATTTTTGGAAGTGGAAAATTCTACTTCTTCTTCCGATTGAGATGTCAGCATTGTTTCACCATCAACAAGTTCTGATCCTTTGAGAACGTACTCTTGGCCGTGTGCTGGATATATAAAATCATGCTCCGCCAAATCGTGCCATACAAATCCATTTCTGTAGCTTCTGCATTGCAGAAAAAATCAACTTCAGTTCCACAATAACAAAGCACGAGGATTTCCAGGAGTTCACTCGTCTTAGTACTACTTTCATTTAAATACTCTTAACTTTGAAGTTCTTATGAGATCCGTTACATTAGTGCTAATATCATTGCATTCACTCTATAACACATATTTGAAAAATAAGGAGTAGCAAAAAAATGAACTAATTCACCTTTTGGCAGACCAGGAATAAAGGGAAGCCATGCCTTTTCCCCTGAGAAAATTCAAGCGGTTGATCACATCTGAAAACAAGAGAATGACAATCAAAATCAATTGCTAATCGTGAAAATTCAATTTATAACCAAATTCCATCTGGAGATCATAGATACGAAGTAAATTATCTTGCCAAAGTGTGTACCTCTAAGATAAAGTCCGTCAGGGGAAGAAAGTGGAACTTCCATGAAATGAGGATGTTCAAGTTGTCCATTTCTAGTGAGATAATAAACAACAGGCACTTTGCGTTCAGATTTGAGCTTGTGATTTGGATTTTCAATCCAAACTTTGTTACGTTCAGGACTAGTTTCTCTATCTTTCCATTTTTGGTGCATTTGAAGGTCCTTTGCTCTAACAGATCTCGACGAAACCGCCATTGTTTTTAGAAGAAGATGGGAGTGTGTGTGTGTGTATAGAGAAGATGAAGGGAATGTTTTACGAGGCTAAATGCTTGGAATTATGTCAAGTGTGAGAATAGTTGAAATATAGAAGAGTGAATGCCGGGGGGATTAATAGGGGGTTGAAACAAAGAGAGGGAGCAGAGATTTCAAAATAGGATGCGGCAGACAACAGCTATATGACAAATTTCACTCGTCTTATTTTTTATTTTCTTTACCTCTTCTACTCTATTATTTTCTTCTCTTTTACGATTTTAATTCATCTGAATCTAGTATTTATTTAGATGGTGCTGATTAAAAATTTTCATATTAAAATTACTTTCAGCTTCTTTTCTAGTTTCGTTGATTTTATCAGGAAATTCAAAATTATATGATGATCGACGGATATGTTGACGCGATGGTACTAGTTGTGATGATAGATAGTAGAAATTATCCTTCAATAATAGCAAGAAATTGATGCTTTATTTTAGTATTCAAATGGATTTAAATGTATTTGACTCTCACTCATCCCTCTTCCTTTTGTATATGTATTTTGTGTGATTCGCATGTATCTGGATACGTAGACTCCCTCACTCGTCTCTCTCTATGAATATGTATTTCAAAGTGTATCTAGTAGAAAAAATACATGCATATGTGAAATCTGGTATGAAATTGTTCATTATTAGAGAGACAACATGTAAAAAAAATTCAAGCAATAAGGAGAATTTGTAAATATGATAGGAATATTTATGTAATTAAATAGTTTTTCCACATCTTATTATCTTTTTGATCCATTTTGCTTGTCATAATTTGACTATATTATTCTTATTTATTATTTCTTCCAATTTAATACTTATGTCTTTTGTACCACATTAATATCTTTTTATATTTATGACTAAGGGTAAAAGTGTAAACAATTAATTATACTTGATTTTTTTTTTCAAAATAATAATTATTTTGGAACATTTAATTATTTTTAGTAAGGACGACAAGTATAACAAAAATAGGTGGGAGAAAGTAGAATTTCTACCACTCTTTACATTTTTCTTTTTGGTTTCTGATTATATTTCTCTGGTCATTTTCTTCAACCTCTCTCTATGGTTTTCGTTCGGTATTTTTAAAGTTAGAGTTCGATAATTTCATAATTGATAATTAAAAATATATATCAAATATCAAAGTTTTAAATTTTGATTCAATTTGATAATTTAATTTTATGATTTATGTCCACCCTGAATTTCTAGTATACATTTCTAGTTCACTTTCGATACATAAAGTATTTTTGAATTGCGCAGTTTGATTTTTATAATATTTAGTTCGTTTGAATTCTTCTTGATTCTTGTCGGAGTGAATTCAAATTAATTCAAAAAGAGTTGACTTAACACTTCTGTGATACTTCACCAAACATTGACTAAATCAATCCTACAATGATTATTATGTTACTTATTAAAAACATTTTTTTCTCAAAAGTAATTGAATAAAGTAACTTACTTTGCCCAAATGTTTGGAAATTTTCGTATTAATATTAAAAATATACTTTATGTCCATCTATTTCAATTTACGTGACACATTTTTTTTTTTAATTAGTTAGTCTTAAAAAGAATGATACATTTATATATCTAGTAACAATTTAACTTTAAAATGTCTATTTTACTTTTAATGAGATGATTTATAGGTCCACAAACAATTATGACTTATTTTATACCATAAATTTTAAAAAGTTTTTTAAAAAAAAATCTTGAATATCTCGTATCAAATTAAACAATATCACGTAAATTGAAATGGACGGATGGAGGTGGTGCCGTCCATCAAATATATATCGAATCAATTTTCCAAACTAAAAATAAACATGAAGCCAATCAGTTTTTGAGGAGACGATTTGACAAGGCAGATCTTTTGTTAATTTGGACAAGAATGTACCAGATTATCTACAGCTTGACGTTACCGTATCTTTACCGTATTTGCAACTTTTTGTTTTTCGTTGTTCAATATCTTGAAGTTCAACTAATTTGAATTCGCATAAGGTAATATCCCATTCGGAAGGATGCGCTCTCTACCAAAAGAATTTTCATACCTAAGGCCCTTGTATATAAATATTATATTTTTTAGAAGATACATCTTTTATATACGTCCAAACACCTACTAAGTAGATATGATTAGGGTTGAAATTAATTTGAGGGGCTTGAACATATTTTAGATCAGATTAAAATTGAAAACATTGTTGGGACACGATTTTGATGTTTTATACGATGAAAACATAGAGATCAATAGCGCAATCGCGAAGAGTGATGTCAAGTTAAGCAAGCAAAGAGGGCTTTGTCGTAACACGATCATAACCTGAGTCAAGGCGATCAAGCTCCACAGGGCAAGACGGATTTGGCTTTATATGAATGTGGTGTAGTTAGTGTGATTCCAAACTACTTAGTACATTGTAGATGTATCGTAAACGTAAATCTTTCGAGCAAATCATATATAAAAGACTCAACATCGAGATGATTTCATTTTAAAATTTAAGACTGTTTAGAGGAGATTTTGAGTTGGTCGGAATTGAATAGTCAATATATACTTCATGTATAGTTCAATTATATTTAGCTTTTTGGGTGTATCATAATGTATATCAGTGTATAATTACTCATGTATAGGTGAGTTATATTTAGTTTTGTATCATAATGTATAGTTAGTGTATATTTTCTATGACTCTTCGCTATATATATATTAAAGATTCGTTCGATCAATATAAATAATATATCAAGAACTTAATAAACAAAAATAATCGTAATTCAAAACCCATAAATTAAATTTTTTGGTTCCACCGGTGTTAATAGCAGGATCATATTCATTTGGTTGTGACATGTTATTAATACCAGTATTATATGTTCATTTGGTCTAGCGATCTATTTGTAAGGACCAATTGTTTGTTCTAAAATTCTTATTGCTAATTTCAATCTAAACATAAAAATATGATTGCAAAGTTGGAACCATTTGTCAATTTGTCAACATTTAATAAATCTTGAGTGCTGACCTTTCATCCCTAGGGTAAAAGGAACATATCTCTCTGTATTGAAAAGTGCTCCATCTTGTTATCAACAAAATTCCAAATATTTTAGGTATGGGTCTTAGGAAGCATCATTTTTATTATAAATCTTTTTTTACTTTATACTCTTTCCATTCCATATTAATTGAATTTTTAAGGTGTTTCACACCTTTAAGAAAAGTAGATTAAGACATAAATTGAACATAGTTTTCAAATTTTACCCTTATTAATTATTGTCAAATTTATTGAAGTCATCACATTGAAAATCCAAATGAAGGGTAAAATTGGAAGAATATTTTTAAAATAGTCTTGAAGATTGAACAATTAAGTTAATTTGAAAAATGGAAAATGCCTCAAAAATTCAATTAATATGGAATGAACGGAGTATTAAATATGTGCCAATCATCATCATTATTATAATTACCAATAAAGATTGTGGTGGGATGAATAGGTTGTCATCTTTAATTAGAGAGCTCGAATTCAAATTTTATTTAGATATGAAAAAGATCTTGTTAGGAAGAACTTCGTCGTGGTGAGAATCGGAAAATCTATTGAGGTTTTTTAAAAAATTAAAGAGTTTGATGTGTATAGATATAGTAGACGTGCAAGGTGCATATATACCACTTACGAGAAAACAGTTAACTAAACACAAGTAACAAATTCGTCAATCTTTCCTCTATTGCCTTTCGTGTGTTCTTCGTTTCATCGTTGTTCTGCATCAATACGAATATCAAATATCAAATAAGTAATCAAAAAAGGTGATCATTATAATTTATAACGAGGAGGTGTATTTGATAGTCGAGAAAATAGGCAAAAAGGTCCAAATTAGGGAGTAATTCAAGGACCAATATTCACATGGGGGGGCAAGAATATACATCTTCCAGATGTTCTATATTTCCCATTCCCAAAATACACAGCAACGTGCCCTATTGTTTCTTCCATATTTGTGTTTCTCTACCCAAATATCAAATGACTATTTCCAACACATTCATGCACCGACGCTCGAACTCTGACATGTTTCAAGTGTCTCAATATATGATAAAATGTTTATATTAGACATTTTTAATTAAAATTTTGAAAATTTTTTTGGAATGTGTTTTCATGCGCTCATTATTCAACTTAAAATATGTCACTTTGTTTGATTGTACACATTATCGTCCATAAAACCTTGCGCTTGTTTTGATTAATGCAGATGTATATAATTAAAGGATGTTATTTTATGTTATGTAGTTGACGTTTGAGAACACAAGCATGAAAGTTTCCAAAATGACTAGGGTTTGTGGGAAGAGATGATAGGATGAAATTTTGTGCGATTTGATGGAGGTTGTATATGTTTTCTAAAAATTTACGATCAAAGATAGACTTGTTTGAATCTCGAAATTTGAAATGTGTCACGTAAATTGAGATGGAGGGAGTAACCAATGCATCAAAATGATAAGCAAGCACAATCTATAATGGATGACATCAAAGAATGGCAACTTCGATAAGACGATTATCCTAATTAATTCATAAATCTAATCCATTTCAAAAAGGAAGAATTAATTGTTATCATATTTATCTTTCTTGCACTGATATTCAAATAAGAATAAAAAGGAAGAATTAATTGTTTTTATCTTTATCTTCTTATATTGATGATGCTGTGTATGGAAATTCTGTCCCAAAAAGGCAATTACAAAGAATAAAATTGAATAAAATATCTTTATCTTTTGTGTGCTTTAAATTGCAGCTAAAAACGATACATTTTTCTATATGATTAATTGTTAAGGATACCACATCGGTGGAAAAAGGCTTTTTTTTTATGACTTTTAGATTTGGATATGGATCTGCTGGATCATTATTTTGAAAAAAAGAAGAAAAGAAATAACGCAAACACATTATGATTGGGGCTAATTATAGGGTAAAACTTACCTGCATCGGGTGTTTACACCAAGTCAATGCATACATGTCATGTGTTTAAATTTATA